TGGCCATTCTGGTGGGCAGTTTTCCTTGCTACTTTTCTATTTTTGCTTATTTGTTTGTTCACTTAAATAGATATTTGCATCCCAAACAATGCCTGGCATACTGAAGGGGGCGCTCCATGAAGAGGTTTTCAACAAACTTCTCATTGCTGGCTGCCATTGTCTCTCCTTGGCATCCTTGGATAATCTGGAGTTTGTTTAGAGTAGTAATGGAGTACACAGGTTCTGGTGTTGGACTGAGTTTGGATGCTGGCAGTACCACTTAGGGTCTGTATGATTTTAGGCAATTTGCTTAGGGTACAAATAAAGATAATATTATTCAGTCTCTCAAAAGACTGATGTGAGGAATAAATCAGATACATCCTGTGACATGCTTGGAAAATGCAAGACACATAATATGCCGGGTTGGTAGATGTTAGCTACTAACATTATTGACTGTCTGGTCTTGTTTGTTATCTATTCTAGTCTTATCTCTCCTAGTAGAAATTTATGATTCTTGAGAGCAAAGACTGTTTTAGATATATTTAATACTTACAAAGCAAACACACACACACAAACAAGCAAATGCTATTAACCAATAGATAGATGTATGGATTTAGTGCTTCCAACGTATCATATAAAGTAGTAATATGTAAATTCAGTTTTTGAATAACCCAATATGTTTTGCAAGACATATATAGAGATGAAAATTTAGAAAAACCTCTGAGCAAAGAGTGGTAGTGTTTATTAAAATGAATCTCCATGAGGGCAAGACTGTGTTCTCTAGAATAGAGAATGGGTGCAGAGTAGGCATTTCATAAAAACTAATGGAATGGGTGATTTAAAAAAATTAGCACTAGGATATGCCAGAAATTCTGACTATGTTTATTAACTTAACTTTCACAATACTATAAGACATAATTATCTCTACCTTAGTTAAGAACTGAGGTTGGCTATAAGTTGAGACTTAACTATAACAATGTAAACAAAAAAAAGCTTATTTTTATAACCTAATGTAATGAGGAATCTAAGTTTCACTGGCTATAGTTTAGCGGTTCATTGTTCAGAACCAAGGTCTCTGAAATTCTTTCTGTTCTTCATTATGGTCCTAAGGTGGTTGCTGCAGCTCCCATTAGCACACTCTTGTTATAAATTAGGAAGAACAAAGAACAGAAGAGCACTTTTCCCACCTGGGGCAGTCCCCTTTAAGGAGGTTTCCTTGAAAACCATGTTTTTAAGAACTTTTACTCATATCCAATTGGCTACACTCATTTGCAAATGGAAAAGATAGAGGGCTTCCCTTTTTCCTCCTCCTCCCTTTTCTCCTCCTCTTCCTCCTCGTTTTGCCTGCCTGGTCACGTTGTTACTCCTAACAAAAACATGGTTCAATCATTAAGGAGGAAGAAACTGGTTATCGAGTAGGTACCAGTAGTCTCTGTCATCGTCTCCATTTTATAGATGTAGGAAACTGAGGCTCAGCCCCATAGAGGTTTTACACATTGGTTTTACTGTGGCTTTTGAGGATTTGATTTACCTCATCACAGTGTCTTCTTTGGAGGACCTGCAGAACAAAACCCTCTTGGTAGTGATTCTTGAGTAGTCAGCAGCTTGTTGAAGTTGTAGATGGTGCAAATAGTTTTGTGTCTGTCTTTACTTATACCCACTCCTAAGAAGTCCCAGAAAGTGAGGAGGTCTGTGTATGACAACCATTGGAGAATATTCTACTATGATTTTATTTTTCTTTTCCAGAATTTCCTTGCTATCCTACATACTTTTTTTTTTTTTTTTTTGGACAGTCTTGTTCTGTTGCCCGGGCTGGAGTGCAGTCGTGCGATCTTGGTTCACCACAACCTCTGCCTCATGTGTTCAAGCCATTCTCATGCTTCAGCCTCCTGGGTAGCTGATATTACAGGTATGTGCCACCATGCCCTGCTAATTTTTGTATTTTTTAGTAGAGACAGGTTTTGCCATGTTGGTCAGGCTGTTCTCGAGCTCCTAACCTTAGGTGATACGCCCACCTCGGCCTCCGAAAGTGCTGGAATTACAGACATGAGCCACCACGCCTGGCCCTACATGCATTTCTTCAAGACATTTCTTCAAGGTACCTGAAACTATTATGAAAAGAAAAAGGTGATAAGTGGATAATAACATGCATACACATGCATACACACAAATCCATTCACACATGTAAGTGCATAAAATGTAAGCTCTGAGAGTTTATGTAATTAGCTTACATTATAGGCAGTTAGAGATAAGTCAGGAGTCTACCCCATCTCCTTGACTCTAAAATCTGTCCTCTACCCTCTCCAGCAGAGGTTCTCAACCCTGGCTGCACATCAGAATCAGCCAAGAGTTTTAAAAACCCTCCATGCTTAGGTCAAGTCCCAGACACATTGTAAATCGGAATCTGTGGGAGTTGAGCTCTGGCATCAGTATTTTAAAAAATCTCCCCCAGATGATTCTAATGCAAATCCAAGGTTGAGGACCACTACTTTTCAGATACTCTTAAGCAAAAGAAATGAAGTGTGATGTTCTGTAAAGAGAGTACTTATTAAAAATTATTGGAACCTATCCCAATGGTTTTCTCACCTGCTTTGTTTTCTCCTAGTGGAACCAGCAATATGCAAAACAGATTAAAGCAGAGTTTTCATGGTTGGGGGAGCATCTGGCTCCACTTCTTTATCACCCCTTGACTCACCCCATCTCTTGCAGATGGACCTTGTGGCCACCCACAGGACAGTGACCCACCTACTTCAATGCATCCCTTGGAATTGATGTTTTAACAAGTCAGCAGACATTCTGACTATTAAACTAACATGCATGACTTGGGAAAAGTCTCAGTCTTGTGGGTGACTGTGGTGTTGTCTTTCCTTCTGCAGACGAGCCTCCAATTTCCATCTCTCTACCTGTGGTTATTCAGAGGACAAGATGCTAAAAAGAGCCCCAGGATCAATAACAGAAACACACAGATGTTGTCAAGGTTATGCTTTCTCTCAGCTCACGTGGCCTTGTGTGTGTGTTTTATCCCCACACCCCCAGGAGTGCAGTTAATCATGTGGACCTGTAATGCCGAATGCTCAAACTCAAATGTCTAGAGAGGCCAGGCAGAGAGAGAATGTGTGAAGTTCCCATGTTTTGGTAGATGCTATGGGGAATTGGAGTGTCTGTGTCCTTCCTAAAAGCATTTATATTTTTAAAAATATTTGAAACTATGTCTTGGCAAACAGACACATACACACATATTTTCTGGGCATAAGGTATTTTAGTGAGGTGCCTAGTGAGGTGAAATTTATTTTATTTTACATTTTAGCTGTAGAGGCTGTCAGTTGCTTTGTTAGGTGGACCCAGCTGGTAAGTTTAGAGCATCATTCTATTTTCAGGGAAGAGTTATTCAATATCATGATGGCACAATGAGTGTATGTGTGTGAGTGTGGAACAGAACATTTTGAACCTTGATCAAACCTTCTCCCTCCAAAGTCACTTGGCTTATAGTTGATCAGATAACTGTAGGTACAGGAAATTTTGCATAGAGGGCAAAGTGTCACCTAGAAGAATAGGATGCAACTAGAATCTCTTTGATGGACTGAGATGGTCCCAACTGACTGGTAGGAAAAACCCAGATGTCCCTAAAGAGAGTAGCTTTCTGATAAGGAAAAATACATGAGTGACAGAAATCATCGCAGTCTAGATGTCTTGGTGTGATCACTGGCCAGACCCTCCATTTCTATCTTTTGCTGACATTTGGAAGCAGAACTGGACCCATTTACTTTATTTTATTATTTTTATTTCCATAGGTTTTTAGGGAACAGGTGGTGTTTGGCTACATGAGTAAGTTCTTTAGTGGTGATTTGTGAGATTTTGGTGCATGCATCACCCGAGCAGTATACACTGGACCTAATTCATAGTCTTTTATCCCTTACCACCTTCCCATCCTTTTCCCCAAGTCCCCAGAGAGAACTGGACCCATTTAGATAAATACATCCTTCTAAACTGAACCAAGTGGTAAAGGAGACAACAGATTTACTGCTAATATAAGAGTAGAGATATTTTAATAGTTGTTTGGAATTGTGATGGTATCTGTACCTTGAAGTAAAGCAGGAGAAGCTGGTGACTTCCTTTTGTTAGGTTGTGTACCTGACACTCCACCAGACATTGCAGGATCTGCAAACAAGATTAAGTCCTGTTACTGCAGAGCTGCAAGTTCAGTCATGTGGAAGAGGGGAAGAAGTTGGAGCAGGTGGCTCAGTGATGTGAGGGTGGAGTTTAGCATGGCAAATCAAACAAATACTTAAGTAACTGTAATTTAAGGAGAAATAAGTCTGATACAGAGCCACATTTATGAGATGTCATGGACACACGGTGAAGGAAGAAAGCCCATGTGGTTGGACACCATTTCCCAGCATTTAGAACAGCCTAAAGTAATTTCATAATGGAAACTTGGCAGGGAGAGTTTCAGAGTTAAGCAAATATAAAGCAATGTGAAACAATCTTGATGAATGCTGCAGAAAGGAATCTGCAAAAAAGGGACTGTGTGGCTAATGAATAACACCTGATGTTTACCTTCCTAAGCTTGGAGCCAACTGAGAAGTAGATGTTATGAGTTAGGTAAACGGGGAACAAGGATCAGCTTTGTTAGTAATAAAGCTGATTGAAAGTGCAGCATGGGGCTGGGCGCAGTGGCTCATACCTGTAATCTCAGCATTTTGGGAGGCCGATGTGGGTAGATTGCCTAAGGTCAGGAGTTCGAGACCAGCCTGGCCAACATGGTGAAACACTGTCTCTACTAAAAATACAAAATTTAGCCAGGCATGGTGGCAGGCACCTTTAATCCTAGCTACTATGGAGGCTGAGGCGGGAGAATCGCTTGAACCCAGGAGGAGGAGGAGGAGGAGGTTGTAGTGAGCCAAGATGGTGCCGTTATACTCCAGCCTGGGTGACAAGAGCAAAACTTCATCTCAAAAAAAAAAAAAAAAAAAAAAAAAAAACAACTGCAGTGTTTCTGTTCCTCAACTGAATTCCAGAAGACTTGCTTTTAAAGAATTAAACATATCCTCTAGGTTGAAGGCAAAGGCAGCTGTTGCTGTCTCTGTTTCTGTCCTGCTCTTCTGTTTTGTCCTTATGGGGATTAGGTTTCTTATGGAGAAGGAGAGATGCATTCTGAACAGAGATGGTTCTGAAAAACAGGACCGAAAGGGCTAAGTCACACTTGCTTAGTTTCTTTAGAAAGGTTTTAGAATCTCCTGTTTTTCCTCTTCTTCTTAAGGAGGAACTATAAAAATGGGGAGGAGAGGCCAATTATTTCCATGGAAATACAAAAATGGGAAGAAGGGGGTCCTTCCGATCCTTTTACAAACTTTTCACTCCATAACAAAGGAACAATTAGTCCTTCAGTACTTTCTTGTGTGCAAAGAGCTCTCTCTCTTTTCTCTGTTTCTCTTCATCTAATTTTTACTAATGTAGGCCTTTGCCATTTATCTGTGACCCATGATGGCATCTTCTAAAATATGCATAGTTTCTACAGTGTCAATATTTGAAAAGAAGACTTGTTTTCTCTTAAATTCCATGCCTGTTGGTATTTTCTTGTGTCTAGCAGCACAAGGCAAGTTATCTGCCTTTTTCATCTCACATTAAAGTTTTATCTCTCACTTGAGGATCGTTTCTCTCAAAGAAACAAAGGTTTTATCACTCACTAGAGTAACTGTGTACACAAGATGAATAGAGAACAACAAACCCATGTTGAGATGCTGATGTTGGGCAGTTAGCTAGACAATTGAACTGAGCAATACAGATCTGTGTAAGAAAGGCATTCAGCTCATTTCTGAATATGTGAAACTTCAGTTAAGTCTGACTTCCTGGGGATCCATGCCATAGCGTTTATCTCTCTGTATCTTCAGTAAATGTTCATGTCTTTTTCTCTTTCACCATCTTGAGTCCCATGTCTTTTTTAAAGGAATAAAGTCCCAAATATAGTAGCGCATTACAGAAACTCATTATTTGTTGAATGAATGAATGAAGGGTCATTTATCAAAGCAGCATAGTACTCATTTTGAGCACATCTCATGTAACCACTTTTGGACCAGGTCATTTTAAAGAAATGTCCATGAGGCAGAGCATATCCTAACTCTAGGTGTATATTTATTCTTTGTCTGCAGAATGTAGAGTAAGCACAACTAAGAGTTTGTGGATAGGGACAATCCTACCCTCTGTGTTTTCAAGTATAAAAGAAGTTTGCTGTGTTGTACATACTGGATCAACATGACTGGGTTATTGAGTTTCTGTAGGGGTCCTATCACTCAGAAGCCCTAACCTCTGGAGTCCTGTGCTATTATGTAGAGAAATACAAAGGGTTGTAATGGGAAAACAATGCCTTATTGTTTTCCTTCTCAGGGTCTTAGGAAAAACACTAAGTGTGTTCTATAAAGATCTCCACCAAATTCTTCTACTTCCTGTTGTAGGTCTGGCTAGAATTGGGTTCTGAGGCCTGGAGCAGAGGAAGATTATCTCATTGAGATCAGGGGATGTCAGAACCTGAGTTAGAAAAGTAAGGGTCTGTATTAGCTTCCTACAACTGCTGCAATAGATTACCACAAACTGGGGAGGCTAAAAGCAACCAGAATTTCTCTTTTTGTAGTTCTGAACATCAGAAATCTGAAATTAAGGCATCTGCAGGCTTGGTTCCTTTTGGAGGCTTGGAGGGACAATCTGTTCCACGACTCTCTACTAACTTCTGGTGCCTCCTGGAAATCTTGACTTTTTTGGCTTGTAGACACATCACTCCAGTGTTAGCGTGCACCATCACATGGAGGTTCTCCTGGAATGTGCGTGTCCAAGTTTCCCTCTGTTTGTAAGGATACTATTCATTGGATAAGGACCTACCCTAATCTAGTATTATCTCATTTTTTATTTGATTACATCTGCAAAAACACATTTCAAAAAAAGTTCATATTCTGATGTTCTGGGTAGATGTGAATTTTTGGAAGACACTATTCAACCCAGTACAGGGTCCAAGAAGCTAGAAGAGAATTCCATTAAAGCAACTGGAGTCTAGGTTCAGGATACTGTACCTGCCCCAAAAAACCAGGAAACCAAAGCCAAGGAGAAGAGAGCAAGTGTAAACATTTCCACATTAAGGGGTGGATAGGGATTAGGCATAGATCCTGTGATGAATATATTGGACCCCCTACAAGATTTTCTTGTTGTCCCTGGCCTGCATTGCATGGACACAGATGTAAAGTTAGGCATGATTTTGTTTCCCAGACATGTCCACTTACATAGAATTATCAGTGAGCAATGTAGACTTTACTGAAGATGTTATGGAGGAGGGCTTTGTACATTGTACTCCGCAGCAAACAATTTAAAATTCATAGCACATGTTTTATTATTTTTCCTTCTAAAATGTCACTGACAGTTTATCTTTCTTGCTTTCCTCTCTTCTAATTCCAGAGTCTATCTGAAGTTCTTCTTCCTAGGTTACAAAAAACAATTGAATTCTCCCTCTGGCTCTTACTGCAAATGTGTACATCCTTATTTACCAATGCTCTCTAGAACAAAACTCTGCTATTACCATTATTTAGCCTTATCAGAAGACAGTCAGGATTAGTGAGTGCAAATACTTGTTTCTCATTGTATCCCTAAACTGGATTGTTAGCTATTTTGACAGCAAGGGCAATTATTTTCATCTCACGGGCACTGTAGCACCAAGCATGTTACTTCCCACATGTTAGGAACTTAATAAATGCTGGTTAGTAATAACCATTATTATTAATACTGTTGATGTGTAATAATACTAATACCATTGATGTATAAGTCTGTATTTTTTGGTTTCCATTAAAAGTTTGTGGTGCTATAGAGATATCAAAACTTGAGCTTTTGAAGTGCCAGGTTTCTAAAGAAGTTGTTGAAAGGGTGGGAAATAATTTTCAAAAAGTTACTTATTTCTCCTCATGAGCAAGTTTCTAAATATATTTACATGCGTTCGAAGAGGGAGTCATTCAATCCAAAAATACTTATTAAATGACAACTTTGTGAACATTAGGAGATTCAAAGTTGTATAAGATAGTTTCTTCAACAGGCTTACATTCTAATTGCCATTATTTTTGTGTATGTAGGAGGAATATAAATCTTGTGGTTTGCTTTGATAGACTGGTTATTCAAATTCTCACTCTACCCCTAAATAGTGAATTGACTGTGAGCATATTTTAAGCTTTCCGAGACTCAGTTTCCTCATTTACAAAATAGGGAAAATAAGAGTATACAAAAGGATTTGGGGGAGGATAAAATAAGATGTTTCTTATTTACCAACATGGTGGATATTTAATGAATGCTAGTTATTCTTGTGATGACAAGTGATGATTAATATTAATGATAATGACAAGTGGTATAAGATTTTTTTGGAGGTGGGTTATTTTTTATCTAAAAAGCTAAGGAAAGGTTGTAGGGAAGATAACATCTTTGAGATAGTCTTGTAAGAATGGGTAGGGTTACCAAAGACTGAAGTAAGATATTCTTGCAGGGAAAATGGAATTAACACAAAGGTACTTTAGAAAAGACTTGAAGTGGGTTCAGACCAAACTGGAGATACTAGAGTATTAAAGAAAAAATAACCATCGTAAAATGTTGAGAGCAAAGTTTTGTGATCACACAATTGTATCTCACTTTTACTCTGTTATCTTTCAGGCCAGACTACAGCTCTTGGTGATATATTATACTTCACCTTCTACCCTCTATAGGTGTAATCACCTGGTACAAGATTGTAGGAAGCATAAAGCTCAAAACTAGTTGAACTCATCTAATTAAATAATCCTAGAGCTTCACATGTTTCCTGTGAGCTGTTGTAAGCACACATTTGACTCCTTTCTGAAAGTTCAGATTAAAAGGAAACAAACTTCTAAAATTAGAATTGTAATTAAAATTTGACTTTGATCAGTAGCAGCTGAGAGGGTCATTAAGAGCCTTGGATGTGCTGACACAGGGTGTTGTTGGGTGGATAAGGTGAGGAGGGAAGCGGGGAGATTGGAAACAAGTAAAAAATTGAGAAAAAGCATTATCGAATTGCAAATATCAATGATTATGGGTCTATGGATGAGCGATTATAATATTAAAAACATTCTTGGCGGGCAGCCCGTATGGGTGTAGATAGCTGTAACTTCATCAGAGCTTGGCTTTAATTTGATTTTTGCAAACATGTTTTGGTTTCTTTTATTTTGATTGATTTCAGAGAACACTGGACAACAGCTGGGTGGAAACTGCGTCTAACCCTCTGTGAAACTTTTCAAAAGATGTTTTCTGCCTCCTGCAAATCTTGGAACACACCATCTCAGAAGGAGATGTGTGAGGGACAGAGAAGAGAAAGTTGTGGGGAATGGATGGGTTCCCACACTGGGTATAGAAAGTGATAAGACTGAGCGCTGCCTTATCCAGAACCAAGGAGCAGTGTTCAAAGAGGGAGAGATGAAGGAGTTGAGAGCTTGCTTTTGTTTCCCTGATAAAGAATAATTTATTGCTGGCATGAACAGTGAGGGTCAATGTGGCAAAACAATGCAAGAAAGATAGTAGTTTTAGCTCTCTGTGAGACAGCTGTGTGTTGTGACTGCCAAAAAGACTAATGTGATCATAGGTTCCAATTATTGAGAATAGAACAAAATGATCATTACCCTTTCTCTGCACCCTGGGAGTTACGTGTTCACTTTTGAGTGCCTGGAATGCCCCATTGTCTTCCTGGTGTATCTCTAGTCATTTTTCCAAAGCTAGCTAGCTCAAGCTCACCTCTTAACACCTTTCCTGACCCTACATTCATCAGGCAGATTTAATCATTGCCATCTCTTGTGGGCTCAATTATACTAGTATGTTCATTACTTTGCATTGCTATATTCCTTATATAACCATCTGCCCTGGAGGGCAGGGTCCACGTCCAATCAGATTTTGTACCCATAGGACTTGGCACCTAGTAGGTGCTCGGTAGATATTTATGGGATTAAGTAGAACAGGCTAGCTGGAGCTTGTTTTGAGATCAAGTAGAAAGGTGGGAGAACCTAAAATCATGTTGAAACCCATCTGGAATCAGGTCATGCTTCAGTTAGCGAGTTGACTAGTAGCAGATGTCTTCCCAACTGATGGGGAAGGGCTCATCCTCCCATAGGAAGAACCGCAGGAAAGGTCTACAGAGTGACTGAAAAGAGACACTCCAAGGGAAGGCAGAAGTGACTCTACCATGTCCCAGAAACAAGAATGAGAGAGTTATATGCAAAGGGAGAAAACGATTGTGTCATGCAAAGAAAGGACTCATGAATTTTCTTTCTTCTTCCCCTTTATTTAGCAATATGTGTCCATATATTTTCAAAGGAATTCAGACAGCCAAACACATGACTGGATTTATGCCAGAAATGGAAGCATTTTCTGTGGCTCTCAGAAAGTAATGCCAACAACTGAGGTCCCAAGGATGATGGACGCCAGAAACACCATATCGTAAGTAACATAAGTTCAGGTGTAAGCCAAGTCAAGAAGACTTGAGATATCTCAGTCACCAGGAGTGAAAGGATGTGCAGAAGAGTTAAATTTTGTGGCATGGGGAATTCCAGCTTCTACTTGCCATGTGTCAATGTATTGTTGGTTATTGTATATATATTTTTACAGTTCTTTCTGTACAACCTTTACAAACCATTATATAAAAGTGCTAGAATAAAAACTGAACAAGCATTTCCTATTCTGTATTTCAGATATAGTCATGCCTTGTTTAACAACAGGGATACATTCTGAAAAAAGCCTTATTAGACAGTTTTGTCATTGTGCAAACATCACAGAGTGTACATAAACCCAGATGATATGGCCTACTGCAAATGTAGGCTATATGGCACAACCTATTGCTTCTAGGCTAAAAACCTGTACAGCATGTTACTGTACTGAATACCGTAGGCAGTTGTAACACAGTGGGAAGTATTTGTGTCTCTAAGCATATCTAAACATAGACAAGGAACAGTACAAGTATGATATTATAATTTTATGGGACCACTGTAGTGTGCAATCTGTAGTTGACTGAAGCATTGTTATGTGATACATGACTGTATTATTAGGAATAGCTGAATGTGAGGGAGGAAAAAGGCAATAAGGAGAGAAAAGAAAACATTTGACACATAGCAGAAATTGTGAAAGATGTGTTGGCTTCTTAAAAAGTCGTATCAGGAAATGACGAATGATTTTGAAGAAGGATGTGCTACATTTTTACACATATGAAGGACTATAATATTAAGCAGGAATTGTGCCTGTCTAAATTTCCCCAGAGGTATAAATATAAGATATGTGGGATGTTAGAACTTTTTGATTGCAATTAATATTAATTGACTTAACTTAATTTTAGGCAACACCCAAATTTATAAAAGTGTCAGGTGCTCACAGATCTGAAATTTAAGTTGAAGAATCTGGTCTTTCAGGTAACCAGAATCTTCAAGGTACTGCCATTGGGATACATTTGTTCCAGCATTTTTCCTTCTTACCTCCTTATACTCAGAATTTAAAGCTCTGAGAGTTACATTTGGATTGTCATAGCTTGGATCACGTGAGCACTTTTTGGCTAACAGAGAAGGGGACACCTCGACTGATGGTCCCATTAAGACAGCGTATAATGGGAAAGAGCAATCCCCCTGAGAAAATCAAAGCTTCTCCTTCAGAAGAAGAGGGAATGCAATATGCAGAGCTATTTGTCATCTGCTGCAAATGCATAGACTGTTCCAGAAATTCCCTTTGACTGAAGGCACTCAGATGGGGGTTGAGTGACTATTTGTCAAACACATTGTAGGCAAGATTCAATAATTGAGTGAGTAATTGGACTACATAACCTTCTCTGTAACCCTGAAATTTTACGTCTCTGTGATTTTAGAATAAGAATCAAATCACAAGACTCCCTCCAGGAGGAATAATGAAACTGTCTTGATTATTCCTATTCATATGTTTATTTGAAAATATCTAGGATCAACCTGTATATACACAAACAAAAATACATTGATACGCAACCCACAGTGCCAACAGCTTGTAATTAAAGAACCAGACTAATGCAACATTTTCCCACTTACAACTCTTCCCCACTGCTAGCATTCGTCAAGCCTTCTGTTATCAGGCAATTTAGTTATACACAATAAAAACATACACGTGTGAGGAGATTTAAATATATTTTTCTAAATGTAAATTAAGGATCTTTATACAACTGCTCTGGTTTTTGAGCCTAGTTTATATTGGCTACAAACTGAAGCTGAAATAATTCTCCAGATAAGGTTATTTATTCTCATTTGAGAAGTACTAGAAAAGCTATGATAGGATTCTTTTAAATTTTAAAATATTTGGAATCTGTTACCTGGCAGATATTAATGACAGTTTCTTCTCCTGATTATATTATGGGAATATAGAATTCTAAAGGTGGAAGACATGTTGAGATGTCCTCTAGTACATGTTCCTGGGACACCAAAGAAATTACTTTAGATGGACTAGAGAGACACATGAAATTTGGAGGCTTGGGCTCTATTGAGGGAAAGGTGGAGAGTATATCAAAAGAATTTTCTGAAAGCTTTCTCTACCATGTCTGAATGTGAGGAGGAGTCTTAGATATGTAGCCAGGACTCCGAAGTATTAAATCTTCAGGGTCAATTCACTGATTCAGGTGTTGAAGTAGTTCTCAACATACCTGCGAAACTTACCTGAGGGATATATTCAACAACTCTAAATAACAGCAGTCTACTAGACAATGATTCTCAAAAGTGGGGAAGGGAAACACTAGGCGACATCAGAAACTTGAGAGTGTGTTTTAGCCCCATGTGAACTCCCTCACTGTACCTCCCTCACCTCCAAGTTTAGAGTGAATGATTTAGGGAGAAACTGATAGATGTTTCAAACTGAGATGGTCCCCCAAACCTACAGAGCATGGTAGGAAATGATAGAGGCTTGAAATTAGGATGTTCCCTGAAACCTGTAGAATATGGTGACCCTGAGTGTGCCATTGGCTTATAACTAGGGAATAAACATCAAATAAGACATACTCATCATCTTCTACAAGTTTTCAGAGGTAGGATAAATAAATGAGCTAACTTTTATAATGTACATAGCACAATGACTAGAACAGAATAGGTACACAGTAAATGGTATCGTTCCTTTACCCCTGCCATTAACTCTATTTCCATAGGTATCTCTGAATGATTCTCATTGTTAAATGCATATTTAAATTTGTGTTTCACTATGATAATCAGATATTTAGGTTAAACCTGGATCTCTAATACTAAGAAATTTCCCGTGTAATCTATGCATTTGGAGTCCTTGACCATAGAGTACCATTGCTATGCTTCTATGGAGATTGACGTCTTTCTTCTCTGTTGCCATGATGACTTTCACCATAGTTGGATGCCACTTAAAGGGTCTGAGTGGCTGGCACAACTATTTTAATGCATCATGACTGTGTGCTTCTGAAAGGAAAATGTTTTCTTGGAATGCAGTATAAGTTTAGGAATATCAAAGGCAGTCAGATACTCAGCATAATTAAAGGTTAAGTTTGTAGACCAGATATTCAAATCTTCCTTTCCTTGGAGGAGTGTCTGGTTGATTAAAACGTTGGAGGGCAGTATCTGATACAAACATTCCAGAGAGCATGTCAAAGAGACGTGGTACCAAAAAACAGCTCTCTGAAGCCAGGAGGTCAACTCCAGCCAAATAAACAGCACCAGAGAGGGAAAGATGGTTCAGATGTAATGCCCATGTGTATGGATGACTAATTTTTTAGGACACTTTTTTTCCAGTTCATGACTCTGAGGCAATTGCTAGATTTAGGACAGCATTTCCTTGCCCTCTACCACCTGGAAACACAGGAGTGATGATGTTCAAAGACAATGGCATTGACAGGATTATTAGAACTTCTTTAGTGTTAACTGCAACCTAACCCCTTTCTCTCTCACTCAAAAAAGCATATCCATGTACAAATGAGCTAGGGCTGGCATTTTTTATAGGACCATAAGGCATAGGATATTTTCCATAGGTCACTTTCTTTAGGGTTCTATAAAGAGTGGTTTTAGGTAGTTCATATACAGGAATCAAATCACGTTGATACAAACAGTCACTTTGTCCTATTTAAATTCTCTTTTAATTCTTTAGATTACATCGAGAAGAAAGACTCAGTTTGCTGCTAGTATTTCCTTAAAACATCTCAACTCTCTCTCTCCCTCTTGAACAGAGCAAAAGCCAGCTCTGACTCAGAATTCTCAGCTAACAACAGTATCTAGCTACAACTTAACAATATTGTCTGGTAATTTTATGCATTTTTAAACTTATCTTCTATTTTGGCAAGTGATACTGGATTTCCATTTATAGTAATGATATAAAGTTTCCTTAATAAATGCATTTATTTAAGTCAAGAATTGAGTTCATTTAAATAAAAATATTTAAGGAAATAATAGTAAAGTTATATCCCATAGTACATAATAATGCAGATATGCTATAATAATTATACAGATAGGAAAATATTCTGACAGTGCTACTTAAGGTAGAAGTTTAGGAAACCCTGTTGTAGGAATAATCTTGAGTATGCTATAATAATATGCTATAATAATAATACAGATAACAAAATATTCTCATAGTACTACTTGAATGTTGGAAGTTTAAGAAATACTGTTGTAGGAATAATCTTGAATTGACCCTAAGTTTTCAAAAAAAATTATTTTCAACTTTGATTATTACTAGCAAATATTTTATGATATATTTCACAAATGTTTAGGATGTTTCAGCACGTTATTCTGCTCTGGTTTAGAACTGCTGACCTACGTAAACACATTACGCAGAAAACATATAGAATGCAGAACTATTTCTATTTTAATTTTTTGGAACATGTTTCATGTTTATAATCTGTGTTCGTGCTCTTTTTTAAAAAGTGGTAATAGCAAATGGTTCTAAAAGGGTTTTGTTGGGGAGATGGCTAGTTTTCTACACAATACTTTGTCTTTTTTGTTGTAACACCCTTTTAGCTGGGTATGGATATGATCAGTAAACTATATTGTTTCATTTTTTTCTTTTTCTTTTTTTTTGAGACTGAGTCTCGCTCTTTCACTCAGGCTGGAATGCAGTGCTGCCATCTCAGTTCACTGCAACCTCTGCCTCCCAGGTTCAAGCAATTCTCCTGCCTCAGCCTCCTGAGTAGCTGGGACTACAGGCACCCGCTGCCACGCCCAGCTAACTTTTGTATTTTTTGTAGAGATGGGGTTTCACCATGTTGGCCAGGCTGGTCTCCAACTCCTAACCTCAGGTGATCCACCGCACCCACCCCCCCCACCAGCCCACCGCCACCACCACCACCGGACTCCCAAAGTGCTAGGATAACACAATTACATTTTTTCATGTGGCAAAGTTCTTGCCCTTGGAATGTGAGCACACCTCCTCTCTGTTCTCCATCTGCTTCCTGTTAGCTGGCAACTGGATATGGCAGGAACTCAACTTCAGCCATACAGATGACATTGTGTCTAAGTAAAGGTAGAGCAGCAAGATGGAAGGAGCCTGAGTGTTGGAATGGCCAAGTGGAGCAGAGCAGCTCAGGGCCCCACATGGCACACATTGGAACTGTTACGTGACAGAAAAAGTCCATTTTCTTTTAAGCCTCCATATTGCTCTAAGTTCCTTTGTTACAGAAGCTTAGCTTTTACCTTAATATGGTAAATAGGATACTTTTCCGCCTCCCCAAACACTCTGTTAACATTAAATATAATTAGTTGGCATAATGAGAAAAGTTGGGAAAGAAGGTGTGTCACCTTGTGCCTTTGTAAATAAATTACATTTGACTCCTTCTACTGCAGTCTCTGTAGCTCTATAAGACTCAAAATGAGTTTGGGAAAGAGTATTGTGGACCAACTATTTAAATACACATAGTCACAAACTAAATAATAGCAAATCTGTTGCTTTACTCCTTAAGTCAGAGACTAATTCGAGGAATGTTAAAGGAAGAAAGTAATTCATTAGAAGGATTTAAGAAAGTTTATATAACCAAGGGAAAAAAAATAGAAGATGCAGATTTCATTAAGGAGGTAGCTTACAGCTCAGGGATGGGGTGGGGTTTAAGTCTGGATAGCAAGAACTGTTAGGGGTTTTCTCCTCCAATCATTTGTTTTTTATTCATGCCCTACTCCAGATTCAGATTCTTGGGAGAAAGAATCTATTTGACCAGTCTCCGTTTCTTATGATTACTCCTTTTCAGACAAAAGTGGGAGAACTTCATTTTTAGGTTCACCATGCAATGGAAGATGGACAGTTCTTCAAAGGAAGTTTGAAGCTCTACTACTCTGCCCTCAGTGGTGTACTGGAACCAGACTGCAGTGGCTCATGAGAGCCTATGGTGAACACTTCTTTCCAACTCTGCCTTCAGTAACACCTCCCTAGGGGCTTGAAAGTGGCCATGCTGGATGTATCAACACCATGGAAGTAGGCAAATGGTACAAATCAGAACCTTTTCTTCAAAGAAGTAGTTGTTAAACAATTACTAGCATACCACTGCCTATAATCTATTTCCTTCTTTTCACCTGGTATTTTCTTTTTTCATTATTTTTATTTTTTATTTTTATACTTTAAGTTCTAGGGTACATGTACACAACGTGCAGATTTGTTACATATGTATACATGTGCCATGTTGGTGTGCTGCACCCATTAACTCGTCATTTACATTAGGTATATCTCCTAGTGCTATCCCTCCCCGCTCCTCCCACCCCATAACAGGCCCCAGTGTGTGATGTTCCCCTTCCTGTGTCCAAGTGATCTCATTGTTCAATTCCCACCTATGAGTGAGAACATGCAGTATTTGGTTTTCTGTTCTTGCGATAGTTTGATGAGAATGATGGTTTCCAGTTGCATTCATGTCCCTACAAAGGACACAAACTCATCCTTTTTTATGGCTGCATGGTATTCCATGGTGTATATGTGCCGCATTTTCTTAATCCAGCCTGTCACTGGATTAAGTGACAAATGGATGGACATTTGGGTTGATTCCAAGTCTTTGCTACTGTGAATAGTGCCCCAATAAACATACGTGTGCATGTGTCTTTATAGCAGCATGACTTATAATCCTTTGGGTATATGCCCAGTAATGGGATGGCTGGGTCAAATGGTATTTCTAGTTCTAGATCCTTAAGGAATTGCTACACTGTTTTCCACAATGGTTGAAGTAGTTTACAGTCCCACCAACAGTGTAAAAGTGTTCCTATTTTTCTACATCCTCTCCAGCACCTGTTGTTTCCTGATTTTTTTTAATGATTGCCGTTCTAACTGGTGTGAGATGGTATCTTGTTGTGGTTTTGATTTGCATTTCTCTGATGGCCAGTGATGATGAGCATTTTTTCATGTGTCTGTTGGCTGTATGAATGTCTTCTTTTGAGAAGTGTCTGTTCATATCCTTTGCCCACTTTTTGATGGGGTTGTTTGTTTTTTTCTTGTAAATTTGTTTGAGTTCTTTGTATCATCTGGTATTTTCTATAGAATCTCATTAAATAGGCTGACTTTGCCTCAGACTTAAGAGTAATGGGACTTTTTCATTGACTTAGGGAAGATATCTAAAGAAAATGAAAAGTTTTATTTTATAAACATGACCCCAAATCAATCTATAGTATTACTTGATTTAAACATTGAACATGTATGACATGTATCTAATTAAAATGAGGTTCTAGGGTAGCATTTCAGCTTGTCCAGTTCTGAGAGAGAGGTTCCAAAAAGGTATTCCGTTTTTGCTGGGGAACAAAAACAAGCCCAGCTTTAGTATCTGAGTAGCGCTCATCATACAGTCTTTGACAATTTCATATGTAGAAGTATGACCTTAGTGATGAATTGATTTTAATTTTGATACCACAATAATGAAAATTTATGATTCTTTCTTACATGATATTTATTTAATTTATTCATTTATTTAATACATTTGTATTGAGCACCTAAAAGGTATGTGGTTTTAAAATTTTGTATTGAAGATAGAGTAAATAAAAATATATCTCTAATCAAAAACTTGAGGCTATGGTAATTTTTTGAAAGTTTAATTCTGATTTCAAATTTCTAAGAAGTTGGATTTTTAAAAATATCCCCAAAATAGAAAAAAATAATCAACTGGCCGGGAACAGTGGCTCCCGCCTGTAATCCCAGCACTTTGGGAGGCCGAGGCACGAGGGTCCTCTGAGGTCAGGAGTTCAAAACCAGCCTGGCCAAACTGGCAAAACCCTGTCTTTACTAACAATATGAAAATTAGCCTGATGCAGTGGTGGGCACCTGTAATCCCAGCTACTCAGGAGGCTGAGGCAGGAGAATCACTTGAACCCGGGAGGTGGAGGTTGCGGTGAGCCGATATCGCGCCATTGCACTCCAGCCTGGGCAACAGAGCGAGACTCTATCTGAAAAAAAAAAAAAAAGAGAGAGAGAAAATAATCAACTTATGTCATATGAACAGTTCAAGCTGAAGGTATCTTTCTAAATGCAGAACAATTGTTTCAATACAGTTAATTATTGAGAAAACATATATATGCCACTTACACCAAATATTGCTCTAAGAGGTTTATAAAAATTAACAAATTCTATTATACTAGTTTTACAGATGTGAAGCAAAAAACAAAGAAAGAATAAGTAATTTCTTAAAGATTACTTAGACAGTAATGAGGGAATCCAGGACTTAAACACAGGGGGTCTAGTTTCAGTCTATGCTCTTAGCCTCTCTCTGTGCTGCTCCCTGAGATGGCCATAGGATCTGTAAGTATAGAGATGGGGCTGATGGGAGGGAGGGAAGGTGGTCAGGTAGTGATAATATGGCAGCTCAACTGAGTGTGGAAAGTGTTCAGCGATGTCTTCAAAATGCATTTGTAAGAATGTTCTAAGCAGCATTATTCAAAATAACCTCAGATTTTTTAAAATGCCATGCCTATCAGCAGTAAAGTTAATTTAAAGAATGACAGTGAAGTGCTGTATAACGATGAAAATTAACAGGCTACTGATGTCGACAACCATGTGAAAAAGCATCACAAACCTAATATTGAGCAAACAATTGAGATACAAATTTTGCTCATTATTAGGCTCATGATACTGTATTATTCCATTTGCATAAAGATTAAAAAACTATATAAATGTAAAACTATGAGGGTAAGAAATCATAGATATGGTTACTTTTAAGGAAGAGGAAGAGATCAATGGTTGGAAAGGGATATGGGGGCTTCTGATGCGTTGTCAGTCTACTCTTTCTTCATCTGGGTGTCTAGGTGGTAGCTGCATGGGTGTGCTCACTGAGCGAGGAATCACTGAACTCTAGAGTTATGACTTTTGTCTCTTTGTGTGTTATACTTCAACACTAAAGTTAAGAAACACTGACGAGAGGAACAATAGGAAAAATGGTACAGCTGAGGCCAGAGGGAGGAATAGGTTGAAAAACAAGAGAATTGGGGTTGAGAAGAAAAATCATTTATATATGATATATTTATGAATTCAATCAAGTAATCTTGATTGATTGATGTAGCTATTGAGGTCGACGAATTTTTCTGTAAAGGGCCAGATATAGTAAATATTTTCGGCCTTCCAGGCCACATATGGTCTATGTCACCTTCTTGTTAGTTTTTTTTTTTTTTTTTAACAACTCTTTAAAAATGTAAAGACCATTGTGAGCTTTCTGGTGGAAAAAATGAAAAGAGAAAAAAGAAAAAAACAGGCCACAGGCCATATTTGGCCTAGGAGTAGTAGTTTGTTTAGTCCTCAGCCAGCTTCTGGTGATGCTAAATGATAAAAATGCAGTTTTTTGCCCTCCATGTTTGATACATTCATTCATTCAACTTTACTAAATACCTTCTATGAGCTTTAAGTTGGTGAGACAGATATACACACCTGTGACTCACAGTGCACTATGATGAGGACCCTAACTTTAGTATCAGAGTGCTAGAAAAACACAAGAATGTGGGACTTTCTTCTTTTGATGTTAAATTTTAATTTTTCTTGAAGTAGGTAGAAACTTACCATGTAGAGAAAAGGGGAAGACATTCTACATAGGGCATGTACGTCATTATTAAATCCACACAGGCATAAACGAATAGCATAAATTCATATGTTGTCTCTAATGTAACTCTGTGCAACTGGAACATGTATAGGGTGATGGAAGGCAAGTCTGAAGCAGTGTTTCCCAAATTTTTCATGTTGTAGCACATACAAAAAGTGAAAATATCCTTTTTGCTTGGAGCACTAGGTTACACAGATAAAGCCACTTGTGGCTGGAAGCCATGGGCCCAGGGACTCATGGAGATGGGGCTGATTGGAGGGAGGGAAGGTGGTTAGGTAGTGATAATATAGCAGGTCAATCGAGTATGGAAAGTAGCCAGAGATGTGTCTTGGCTTCCCCAAGCCCTCCTAGGCTGCCCTGAGACCTGAGTGCATTACTCTGCCCATTTAAATCCATTGGCAATCCAGTTGGGAAGTTCTGAAGAAATTAGGAAAGCCTTGATTGAGCAGTTAAAACATAGAGCAAGAGGAAGTTTGGTGGCTTTTCACAATCCAAGGCTTAGGTTCAAGTTCTTGTTTAATCACTTACTTGGTGGATGACTAAAGCAAGTTATTTCAAATTCCTTTTGTTTCCATTTCCTCCTTTATGTAAAATGTTACCTGCAGGATCCTGCAAGGGATCTTGTCAGGCTTAAAAATCAGATATACTGTGTACAAAGCTTTCACTGCAGAGTCAACTCTTGACAGATAATTTATTTATTCTTCACATCCTCCCAACCTCTCTAACTGCAGTTAAAAAAATATATACATATATTTTAGTATATATTATACTTTAGTATATGTTATACATATGTAATTAATATATATAATTTAGTATGTTATACATATGTAATTAGCATATATATAATTTAGTATATATTATACATGTATATATTATATATAAATATGTTTTAGTCTATATTATACTATATATTATTATGTATTATATAATATGTAATAGTATAATATAATACATATAGACTAAAAAATAATATATTTATATATATAAAATATATACATATAATCTTGACAAGAAAACCCACACCCTTTCTGATCTCTACATCCACTGCCTGGGGATGGCAGTAGGGCTTTTCTGACATGAAGGGTAGAATAAGAGAAACTATAAAATAATGAGCAAATATATTACTGTTACATCAAATGATGACTTTTTTTTCTTTTAGAAAGAGAAAGGTCATCAATTCTTGGAACACTTAGATATAGGTTGTATTCTCAGTGTTAGGAAATCTCTTCTTTCTCTATCTATCTCTTTCTTTTATAAGCCAAGGGTGCTGGGGCTCAGTGGGCTGTGCCCTGGAGGTGAACTGAGGACTCTGGTTAAACATGGTTATGTTGGAAACTTATCACCTGACTTCAACAGAAACATCTGTGAGTTCATATTGGCCGAGTCCCTAGAGATTCTTTCACTGCTGAACATGCTACTTCCCAACTGTTCAAGATAGTGGCTCAGAGCTGTGCACATATTTCGAGATGCATTCTGCTGATTGGATTATTTTTAAAGCCTATCTCTTAAAGTATTCCCTTTAATTGCTTATCTTTGGACTGATGCTAG